CGTCAAATTCATTCAGCGCTGCGGCCAGCTCGCCGATGCCCGTGTGGCCTTTGGCTTCGTCAGTGGGCGAGGTAGCCTGAGCGGCGTTGGAGATGCCAGCGATGGCTTCCTGAACTTGCTTGAACACGTAATCTCGGTTGGCTCTGGTGGCGGCCACGTCCGGGTGGCGGAGAAACGCTTGGGAAGCCGTGTACAGCATCGTGGCATTCTTCTTGAGAGCCCCACGGGCCGCCGCCATCTCATCCCGACAGTGAGGGTCTTTCAGCTCCTGTGGGAACAAAACACAAAGCCTGTCACCCACATGACGTTGTCCATGAAGGATTTTTTCGTGGGGATTGGAATCACAGTCTCTTAGAAGTGACTTGGGTGGCTGGGATTTTGCACATAAAACGATCCTTTCTGGGTGAAACGTCGGGGCTTCTCTCCTCCTCCTCCATGTGCACCTGACGGTGAGCCACTTACCTGGCTTGTCCTGCCCCCGTGCCTGTTACCGACTCAACACCCAGAGACAAGCTCTGTTCCTTTCCGTTTCCCCAATGTCCTGTTGTTTTCCCAGCAGGAAGACGGATCTTATTTACTGTATATACTAAGTCGCACACATTGCCCTCTTACAGTGTATGTCTTCAATGAACAAAGGGCTTTGTCTCTGATGTACACTATTGCATCACAGTGTTTAGTCTATAATAGGAACTCAGTGAAGATTGCTGAATACATTCAGAACCTGAGGTCCCCACAAAGTAGGGGGCGTGCCTGGGTCAGAATGATTTATCAGTAGACCTGATACTCAGACTTCAGTCTCCTGGCGGCCTGCTTGCCTCCATGTTCAATTACATTCACAAACACGAGAAACCAGAGTGCTGTGATTTTTGCTTAACATGTCAATGCTTTTCCATTATCCGTTCAGAAAAGGGTCTTCTAAAGAAGAAAAGAAAGCCTTCCTTTCGTTGCATCTTAATCCATGGTTTGCCCACGGTTGCTCAGTCAATTCGAACCCGCGGTGACCCTGTATCACACAGTAGAGTGGCCTCGTGTGGTTCCTAAAGCCATACATCTCTCTGGCTGCAGACTGCCAGAGTGTTCTCACTCAGGTGGCTGGAAGAGTAAAACCTCCAACCTTTGCTTTAGGAGCGGAGGTGGAAGCACTGTGTAGAAGTATCAAGCACTGTGCCGGGGCTCCCTCATTCCTTGGTTTAGGGAATAAGAAATAAGAAGGCAAAGATGACTTAGATCCTCATTTGTGTATAACAAAGTGATACCTATGTGAATCTTTTCATTTAGTTCTGAAAAGCATTGCTAAAAATGCTTGCACTCTTTAAGGAAGCCTTCCGCTCTGAGAGCCAGGTAGGATTACCAGCTAAGTATCTCTGGAACAGTATGTGTCCAGCTTTAAAACAGGGTGGTTCCCCATCCCAGGGGGATGTGCTTCAGCAGACAGCACTGAAGCTGCAGCTTCGAAAGAGGTGTGTGTCTGGTCAGGAGCAAACGAAGAGGGAGGCAGAGAGAGTGGAACACATCCCAGCCCATCAAGCCCTGAAGACTATATTCTGGCTCAGAGCAACCGATGCACAGAGAGGATCGCAGGGCTGGCCCCACCACGAGACATGACAACATCCCTCGCTGATACATCACACTAAGGGGGACAGCACTGGGGACATGGTACTGGAGATGTGCCTGATCTGACCCCACCACAGCAGGGTGAAATACTAAGGGCATAGAGCAGAGCAGCAAGGGGAGCAAAGCAACGAAGTCCCCAAGGAATGCTAAAGATGGACTTTGGGGCCAGGGTATGGCACCCCAGCAGACTCAACTGGAAAACACTCATAAAGGTCAACGGACAGACCTAGAACTGTTTGAGGACTTTTCTGTTTTTGCTGTTGGTTATTTGTTTACTGTCTGTTTGTTTTATTGTATTAGCTGTTGTTTTTATTTTTTTGTTTTCTTTTGCTTTGCTTTGTTTTTGTATGTATTGTTGTCTATGCATGACTATCTGGACAAGATAGGTGGGATGAGCAATCTGGAGGAGAGAACAATGAGACCAATGGTTCTGGGGGGGACATGGGAGAGGAGGAGATGGAGGAAAGAAACAGGGGTGCCAACAAACCTAGGGACAAGGGGGAAATAAGTGATCTAAAAATTGATGGTGCTGGGGGCATAGGATGCCTGGTAGGGCTCGATAAAGGGCAATGTAGCCGAGAGGAATTACTAAAACCTGAATGAAGGCCAAACATGATAGTGGGACAAGAGGAAAGTAAAAGGAAATACAAGAAAGAAATGGGAGGCAAAGGACATTTATAGAGGTCTAAATACAGGCATGTATATATGGAAATGCATTTACATATAATGATAGAGCAATAGATCTCCCATGCCACCTTCCCTCTCATTTTGTCATTAGCTTACCACTCTCCTTCATCGATGTTTCATTGTACGTGCTGCACACCCTGGGTGTGCACAACTGTGCTGGTGTCAACAAGGCTCCGAACCATAAAGTGAGGGTGACCAAAGTGTCTCCCAGAGAGTGACCTCAGCACTACACCACAAGGTGAGATGGATTCAGAAGCTGCTCCCACAGTCGACAGAATGTGTGATGGGGGTGGGGGTTGTGTTCCCAGTAAACCAGTGGTCTGTGACCCATGATGATATCAGGACTGGTACAGTTAGGAAGAAGTGTGTATACTCTAAGACAGGTCAGTTTTTCAGGTCTACAGAGCTACTAAGTTATTGCATTTGAGCATTTTCTTCTCTAACTTTTCACAAATGTTCCCACCTGTTGTCTTCTTGCTGCTACATAGTTAAGTTTCACCATCTCTTTTCCAAACTCCTTAAAGCGGTTTGCCAGGTCTTGCTCATTGGTAGCATTTTTGACAGCTTCCAGAGCCTCCTCCACCTGAGGTGATGAAAAATAAAATACTTATTAATAAATAGTACTTAAATACTCAGACATATTAGAAACGGCAATTCTTTTTTTCAAAATCATAATTAATAGACATTAATATTTAAATGGAATACTGAGATATATCCCCAACATGCCTCTGATCATAGATTACAGATATTTAGAATATAAAAAATCACAATCGCTGAACTCTTCATGCAATTTAAATTATATACTTATTATATTTTATTCAGTTACGGATTTTATTAAAACATAGATTACACTCTCAAATGGCAACATAAGGAATCTGCAGTAAGGAAAAAAATAGATTAGAATTTAAAAACCGATTCTAGAAATCTTTAATGGAATAAATAGGTGCAAACCCAAAGCAGAGATGTTCATAAGCAAAAACTCTGGAGTAACTTCTAAGCTACAAAAGACTTGGGCAGTTTGAGTTTCAGTCCCCCAATCCTTTTGACAACACCTATACATCTGGCAGTAAAGGTACTGCAATTCTTAGCTGAATTTATACCTTACCATACAATGGAACGGGAAAATATTGAGCTTTCACAAGCTGAAGAATTGAAATATTGCTGCCATGCAAGGTAACAATAGCTAGGAGTAGAAGGAGAATGTATAAAATAAAAGCAAGCATACTGTCCTAATGTGCTGTGCTTCATTTTTCTGGAAAATTATTTCATTAAACTTGTGCTAGATGGCCATGGATTTGCATCATGAATTCACCAAGACTCCCCTTATATATGATATGAGAACTTGAGAGGTATGGATGTCCCCTTCACTCCAAATTTATCTTATCCTCAACATGACATAAGGAATTTCTGCAAGTAGTAGCCCTTGAGCATTTTGTCTACTCAAAGTTACAACTGTGATGTTGTAGGGACACCTCCAATAAGTCATTGTCAGATAGCATCTTTCTAGGAATAATTTTAGCAGAAGAAATTGTCATTAATAGTCCTTAGTAAATATTACTAAGGACTAATTACTAATAGTCCTTAGTAAATAAGGTGCATTTCATATATTTTCAAAATCAGAACTTAAACATGAAAGATGTCTGGATAGACAATTCTCTTCTAGAACAGTGGGGTCACTGGAAATAAGAGAAGTTGGTAGGTAAAGCAGAATGAGAAATGCAGAAATGCAGGTGATATATAAGAACTGATGCAAAATTTGAATTGACTCTTGTAATTTGGGGCAAATCAAAGAATAACATCTGGATAAACCTTTGATAGCACAAAAATATATATGATGACTAAAATAGCTGGAAAAGGTTATAGATTAACTCAAGCTTGGCACAATGTCAAAGGTAATCAATACAATCTCCTTATCAAATTTCACTGAGTGAACAAAGAGAATGATACCAACAAGCCAGGGAGAATGGAGAGCATCAAATCATTTACCCTGTATGTATTATATTTAGTTTGTTAGTAATTCACTTGCAAGGAAATAGTTATAGTCAGCAAGCGTACTTATTTAAAGTTAGGGTGGCAGTTGCTCAATCTAGACTCAGCAAAACATTATGTTTAAATTAGTATCTTCTTGAGACAAAGGACACTTTATCTTCCATATCATATGTATTGATTATTTGATTTCTCAATGTTAGACAACCCCAGTTCTGACCAAAATGTCTTTGGCCTCAACTCAGGGTAAAAAAGGAACTATAATAGAAAAAAGGGATTGATGTGTTTTGATTTTTTTTTTTAGTTATTCAAGCCAAGTTGTATTTCATAATATTAAATAGTCCATTTAATTAATACATTTTTTTGAGTTTAACATACCTCAAATCTTCAGAACAATAAATCAGGAATGCCTCACATTCTAACAAATTTATGATCATCTTAACATGGCTCTCACCAGCATTACCAAGAAGACAGTTCTTGGCCATTGTTTGTTCCCGCTGCTTATTCAAGTTGTAAATCCTTTCTCGGGACATAAAAACTGGTTTCGGGAAGAGTGAAATAATTTTCTCCCGGGGAGCTAAAGCCTAGATTTGTTTTCTCATAAATATAAAACAAGACTCTTACCAGTTGTTAATCAGACCAATTTGGTATGTTTTTTATGCTGTGTTACACATAAATTATTTTTGTACTGTTTGTTTCTGAAGATTCCAGATGCTGGTTTTTATTTATACTTTTATTTCAATGGAGTCTTTGTTTTGATTATAAGGCAGCACCATGGATATGTAACATCTATACAAATGTAGACTTAGTTATATTCAGAAGGTTAATCTAATTAGACCTTCTTCGGCTGGACCCAGGAGACAGCTGTTTTACTGCCTAAACCCAGGCTGGGTTCTGAACACCAAGGGAGAACATTTTTGCTGAGTTAGATATCTCTGTCATTACTAGTTACAGCCAAATATCACTGAAAACTCTATAAAAGACATTGAAATGTGTTCCCTGTTAGTGGGTTTAGATACCATTTCTCAAGCTTGTCATTTAGAATTCTTCAAATCCTGTTCTCCTGACAGAGCTTCTCTGCCTGCAGTGAGTGTTTAGTTACAGAGGTGTCAAATAATTTTTGACAGGCTTCACATCTCAAGTTTTTTTCTGGTTAAAACTGGCCTAATTGAGATGAAACAGCAGTCTGATAATTATTTATTAACCAAATATTTATTAAAAGCCTACCATGAGGTGAAATAACCACTCATTTGTCAATTTGTCATACTGTGGTGACTTAACTATTGCTGTAATGCTGTAGACCTTGTCACCAGCATTTCAAATACCAGCAGGGTCACCCAAGTGAATAGGCTTCAGCAGATCCCCCAGAAAATGAGGAGACTATGAAGAAGCAATGCAGTATCCATTTAAAAAAGAATTAGCCACTGAAAACCCTGTTGACAGCATTGAACACTGTCAGTTACTGAAAATCTAATGAATAGAAGCAGAACATTGTCAGAGATAGTTCCAGAATATAAGACCACAGGTCGGTCAGAAGGTGCTCAAAATATGACCAAGGAAAAGCTGACTTTTGAAAATAGAGCCAAACAAAATGATGTAGATGGAGTCAACCTAGGGGAGGAATGCCTTCAGGACCTTCATGTAGTGATTGGGCACTATCCAGCAGGAGAAGACACAGCTACAAACATCAATAAAGAATTGGAACATGGAACGTATGAAGTACGAATCTAGGAAAATCGTAAGTCATTAAAAATGAAATGGAACATATAAAGATGGATAGATAGTATAGGTGTTGTTAGGTGCCATCAAGTCGGTTCCTATTCATAGGAACCAATTCGTATTCCTATTCAAAACAGAATGTTCCTGGGCAATCTTCACAATAATTCTTATGTTTGAGTATGCCACTGCAACCACTGTTGTCAATCCAAGGCCTTTCTCTTTTTCCACGGTCTTCCTCTTTTACACTGCCCCTCTACTTTGCCAAGCAAGACAACCATCTCCAGGGACTAGATTTTCTTGATAACCTATCCAAAGTATGTGGGAGAAGTCTCTCCATCCTTGCCTCTAAGAAGTATACTGGCTGTACTTCATCCAAGACAGACCCGTTTGTTCTTTGACAGTCTACGACATTCTCCACCAATATTCAATGTTGGTGTATATATTCTCCACCAACATCATAGTTTAAATGACTCATTTTTTCATCAATATTCCTTATTCAGTGTCTGACTTTAACATAATATGAGGCAATTGAAAATATCATGGCTTGAGTCAGTCACATATAAGTCCTCAAATTATAATGCTTGCTTTTACAGACTTTAAAGAGGTCTTGTGCAGCAGATTCATCTAATGCAGTGTGTCCTTTGATCTCTCCATTATTTGCTTCCATTCACATTGATTGGGATCCAAACAAGATGAAATCCTTGACAATTTCAATCTTTTCTCCGGTCATCATGGTCCAGGAGTGAGGATTTGTGTTTTCTTTACTTTGAGCTTTAATCCTTACAAAAACTGAAATCCTTGAGCTTCATCAACAAGTGTTTCAAGACCTCCTCACTTTCAGCAAGCAAGATTGTGTCATCTACATATCACAGATTGTTAATAAGCCATGCTTTATTCCTGATACCTCCAATCTTCTTCACATAATCAATTGTCTCTGATTATTTTCTCAGTGTACATATTGAATGAGTATGATGGGAGGATACAATTCTGATGCACACCTTTCCTGATATTCCCTTGTTCTATTCAAATAACTTCTTCTTGGTCCAAGTACAGATTCTCCATGGGCACAATGAAGGGTACTGAAATTTGTACTCTTCTTAAGACTTTCCATACTTTAAGATCCAAACAATTGAATGTCTTTTCATTGTCAATGCAACACAAGTAAATGTCTCTCTGTTATTCTCTGCTATCAGCAAAGGTCCATCTGATCTCTTTAGGTATTTGTGTGCTAAAATGTGTTGGTCATTTTGAATTTTAAAAATCCTATGGTTTACCATCGAAGGGATGACCAATAAATAAGAATGGGATTGTATTACTTGTCATAAACGATATTTAAAGATCTATTGGAGTTCCGGCAAGAAGGTGACTGAGTAACACACACCAGAGAGACTCCACAGAAATCAGCACAGGAGAGCCACTGAGAGGGAAACTCCACTCTTCCGGTTCACAGAAGGCGCATCATAAAGATAAGTAGACTCAGATTCACTAAGTTTTAAAAAGCTGTGGGCTTTGGGCTTATTGCTGAGGAGGCCAGCTGGTGCTTAGCTTTAATCCCTGTGCAGTGCAGGTTGGCACGGGGCTAGTTTGGCCAGCACCAAGCTACTTTGGGAGACACAAGGACTTTACTTCAACATACCCATGGCTGCTACCAACTTTGGGCAGGGTTTAAACCCCTCTAGCCCCATGGTCAGGCAGTTAGGGCTCATCTATTTCTTTACTGTTTTCTCTCTCTTCTCTCTTACCTGCTATAGTCATGGCTGGCTCAATTTTTTCTATTTTGTTTATTCCCTCTCTTTCCTTTCACATACCACTTCTGGCCTCCAGGGCAATTCCCTTGGCTTAGAGCAACTCTGCCTATCCTCCACCAAGCTGAGGAAG